GGTCAAGCCACAATAACACATTAACTCTATCCACATGTTCCTACAGAAGCCTAGTTGACACAATAAATCTAACTATCACAGTTATTTAATGCCTTTAGCTGAGTTCTCTAAAGAAACAAAATGAGGGAAATTATATAGATGGGCTCCTACTGATTCACTTAACTGCAGAGAGTGATGAACCGAAGATTGACAAGAAGACAACAAGCTGTGGCTACAAATGAATCCCAAGTTGGTAAGTCAGATAGCAGGATATCGACAACTCCCAGGATCAGCAGGCAACCTGGCAGACCATTGACTGAAGTCCAAAGATCCAGATTTTAGTGAACCAGTCCAGGATCCAGTACTAACATAAAGCAAAAAAGCTTTTCCACAAGGTCCACTTATATTATAAGCTTGCCAGAATCCTGAGGAGAAGTCTTTCAATTGATTGCATCAAGGCTGTAACCTGAGTAAGGGTGTTGTATCTCATTGTATTCATACAACTGATGGCTGCTCATAGAAGATCCCATTATGGAGGTGAGTGTACTATATTATTAGGTCACATTATAGAGGATTACCAGGCCTGTACTACAAAACCACTAAGAACCCTAGCCCAGCCAAGTTGACACAAAATCCAAGGATCACATTCTGTTTTTATCAAAAGATTGCAGAGCATTGGGGATGGTGTCACCGAATAGCTGCTGGACTTGAATAGTATGGAGAGAAACAGAATTTGCTAACTACAATCAATGAAATTAACTTGGAAGTTGGAATTCAAAATCCCAGTTCACTTACAGGGTGTCTGTCACACCCTGGTCATTTAGGATATATTTCTAGCCAAGAATGTTATATCTAAATGACATGGATATTTATAAAAATAACCCAACCGCTATGGCAGGCCAAATGTCTTATTACACAGAACAAAATGAAGATTTGAGTCTCATGCCACCTAATGACTGCATGACCTCAAGTAAATAGCTTAAACCCTCCTGAGCTTCCATTGATCCACCTTAAAATGAATACAGGCTTGTACTGCCTCACCAGGTTTTAAGAATCTGATAGCATAACATGTGTGGAAACTCTTAGTAAACTCTGAAGCTTTACACAAATGTAATTGTGGGCGTTACATAATCTCCTGTCAAGTTGCGAAGGGGTGGAGTCTAGCCTGTCAATCAGGGAGCATCATGATGACCTAATTTGGAGGCGCTAAAGAGATAAATAGCTCACTGGGGGAAGACATGCTCTCTGCTTTGACTCTCTGCTTGGTCCTCCTGCTGACAAGCCACATGGAGCTATGCTGATGGCAGCAAGCACCTTGGAGCTGGAGGAGCCACGTGGAGACGCACACCAGCACTGAGATGCTTCCACCGCCACTGGATCCACAAGACTTTCCACCAAGTGGCCTGTGATCTTCCTGCATTTGGTGTCATTGGATGAGTTGTGTTGAGTCTGAAGAGGAATTTATAGACTGGTGTCAGACATAGGGGCTAATATTAGACTTAATAAGGACTTGATCTGGACTGGGCTGTGATGTTTCATTAATATACAATTGCTCTTTGATATAAAGTTCTCTCTTACACACATGAGTATCTCTGGATTTGTTTCTCTAGTCTACCGGGACTAACATGGTCATGTACAATTTTTGTTCTTTAGCGTTCTTTAGAGACATCAAATCCTTCCTTCAATAAATGATTTCTTTCTTGGCAAACTTGCTTTTGTCTGATCTTGCATTTACTCAAGGTTTAATTTCTTACCACCGATATTGTTTCTTTAGACCTTGCCTCTTCCCAGTTCTTTCTAGATTACTAGAACTCAATGACGTCTCTAACTCTTGCTTGTCCCAACATGTAATTGGAGGGCTGGCTGTGCTGGACCTGCCACCACAAAGACTGTGGGCATAACTAAGGGTGCACACTCCTGTAAACTGCAATCCATCGAAGCAACCATGTAGTATTTGAGAGTAGAAGACAACATGGGATGGAATTTCACTTCTATTTTTGAAGAACTAAACTAATTCCTTATCTTTCCGAAGATTTACTTTAAAAGGACTTCCAGTTTCTGTTATGAAATAAAATACAAACCATGGTTCTTTCTGTTTCCCTCTCATTTCCTCACTGAAAGCATTTGTGGTTTGCAAAAGTCTTTAATAGAATATCAATGCTGGTAGCTAATACTAGAAATAATTAAGTCTATTCATTGGTTTCTTCTTCATAAAATACTAATAGTATCTGACAGATGTGTTTACTATGTGAGAGGCTTTACATATACTAATTCATTTTTTACTCTATTATGATCCCCATTTTACGAATGACAAAATGTGACAGAAAGTGATAAAATAACTTACACGGGGTCAAACAGAGGTTAAGTGGGAGAGCTCAGGTTCAAACTCGGGCTGTCTGGTCCCAGGATCTGCACCCTTAACATTATGCTGTCCCGCTAGTAATAATAACAGCCATTGTTAGCTACTGCTACAGAACAGATT